AGCAGCGGTCCTCAACCTGTGGGTCGCGACTTCTTCGGGGGCTGAAGGACCCTTTCACAAGGGTCGCCTAACACCATCGGAAAACACTCCGATGGTTTAAGGAACCGAGACACCGCTCCTCTGCCTGCCGTCTCTAGATACGCTCACAAACGAGTACCAAGCGTGAAGACTTTCCCATGCTACACCATGCTTCAGGACAAAATTTCATTTGTAACTAGAAATATTTCACAATATATAATTACATATTGTTTTTGTAATTACTGTGTTCACCATATCAGGTATTTACGATTCGTACCAATAGCAAGATTACAGTTAGGAAGTAGCAACGAAAATAATGTTATGGTTGGGGGTCACCACAACATGAACTGTATTAAAGATTTGCGGCATTAGGAAGGTTGAGAACCACTGCCCTAGAGAGAAATGAAAAACGCCGTACATTTAAGATGCTATCATTTGTGGGCAGAGCGGCCCAGTGCACAGGGGAACTTCCGCCCTGAGCTCCAGATTGATCTGAGACCCCGGACCACCTTAGACCGACGGCGGTACTCTGGAAGCGGTCCTCCTGGCGTGGGCGACTTGCTGGGGATGCAGGGTTCCACGCCGCTCCCTGGTTCCAGCAAGAGCAACCGGGCCTCGCCTCCGGCCCCGCCCCTTCTACAGGATGCCTGCCGTCAACGACGCCCGGGCCGGAAGTGACACGGCGATGCTTTCCGGGCGGGGCTTGGGACCGGCAGTTCAGTGGGCCGCGATTTCACTTCGGCAATCAAACCGCGGCGGCTTGTGAGAACCTCAGCTGCGAGCGTCCGGCGGTGGCGGCGGGGAACGTGTAAGTGCGCGAGGGGGACTCGGGGGAAACCGGCAGGCGCTTCCGAAACGAGCAGCCTCGGGCAGGCCCTGGCTTCTGGCCGCCCGGCCGCGGAACCGAGCCCTCCAAGATGAGGGGCGGGGCGCGGCCGCGCTGGACCGAGGATTCCCCGGGTGGGAAACGATGAGGGGCGGGCGCGGGCGCGTGGGGCAGGCTCGCTGTAGGGTGACTCCTCTCAGAGCCTGGGTCCGGAAATCCTAGTTCCCGAAGACACTTCAGGGCGCAGGTGCTTTGGGCGGAGATTGACCGTCTTGGTTGGAGTGGTGGAGGAGGAGGAGGAGGAGAAAAAGAGGAAGGCTCTGGGTCTGGTTGAGCAACTGGTGAAAGTCCGCGCTGCGAGCCCTGAGTGCGTCCTGGTTTCGGGGAAGCTGGTGGCTCTCGGGCTGACTTCCTTATTGCTCACGTTCCCCACGGAAATCAGGGTCTGATGCTCTTGCCTGGGTCAGAACTGTCCTGAAACAGTTGTCTGTCCTGTGCTTTGCCTGTGTCTTCAGTACTTCTCAGATGACTTAAATTGCCCGCACCTCTTGCAGGAAGGTCAATTAAAGACCATTTTGAAGGTATTGGACCAAGATCAAGAAAGTCTTCGAGGTTCAGTCTGCGAGATAAAACTAGTATCAGCTAATTATAATGAAGCACATTGTAAGGTCATAAGGTTCTCTGAAATGTTGAGGCAAGTAGACATCAAATCAGTTTAAGGGAATCTTGGGTTTTGAGTTATCTTACATAGGGCAAGGTTTCCCCACCTCTTGGAGTTGCAGGGACGGGAGAGGATATTATAATCAGAAGATGTATCACAAACAGGAACGCTCTGTGGCTCTGGATCATAACTAAGAGGCTAGCGCCCCATTCTGAACATTAACTAACTGGTATGAAGAAAAAGAAACTGATGGGAACCTGTGCTTTTGGTTAACTTCAGCCACCTGCAAAAGGCCTGGTTCAATTGCCATCTGCAGGGTTCAGCCACAGCCTGCCCCTTCATTAATAAGCCCTTCAAAGTGACAAAGGAACCCTGTTTACTCTGCACAGACCGCCTCATCATTTACCCAGGCTCCCATTCTTCTCCTGGCCCTGGTGTAGATGCTTCCTACAGTTCTGGATTTACACTCCCCAGATGGTTATGAAATATAGTTTGATTTTAAGTTAGTAACCACAAAAGAAATAAATGACACCCCACCCCCCCCTGCCAACTGCCATCTAGTCATTTCTGACTCATAGCTACATTCTAGGACTGTCATGGAGGAGATAGCATCATCTGTCTCTCATGGAAGGCTGGTGGAGCCCAGGCACTTCTCTTGTGGTTAGCAGCCCAAGGCAGCACCCACTACACCACCAGGAGTCCTTTACTCGTTCTCAACTGCTGCATGGCTTCTCACCTTCCCCTTCCCTGGGAGAACTGGAGGGTTGGAGTTAGCCTCAGAGAATCATCCTCACAAGCTGTGGGCGTCTTCCTTCCAGGTCCAGGTTCTCACTGTTCCTGCTCTTCCACTGCTGTTTGGGAGACTTGACTTCTCTTGGAAGTATTCTGAAAGACCCTTTCGAAAACCCTTAAGACTGCCTCTCCTTAGTCTGATAAACAGGCAGATTCAGAAGGTGTTCTTAGTGTGGCACTATCAATCGTTGCTGTGTTTGCATGGAGGTGACTCTTACAGTTCACCGGGTTTGAGAGATCAGTGTTGGATGGTGGCAGGCTAAGAAGGAGAAATGTCAATAGGACACGATAAGCTGTCTAGGAGCAATGAATAAAATGGAAAATGACTAGGAAGTATTAAATTTGGAGAAGAGGGAGACCAGAAATAAGGATGTTAGGAAGGAACTAGTCTAGAGAAGAAGATGAAGAAGTCATTTGTAAGTATTACCGTATATACTCGTGTATAAGCTGAGTTTTCCAGCACATTTTTAATGCAGTTTTTGTGGTAAAATTAGGTGCTTCGGCTGACATTCGGGTTGACTTATACTAGAGTATATGCGGTACTTTTTTGTTGTTAATTGTGAAAATATATATACCAAGAGCAGTACCACTTTTTAGGTTCCTGCAGGCCTGTGGACAGGACTGCAGTTGTAAACATGAGAGTCACTTAAATAGGTGTGCCAGTTGATGCTGGAGTTGTAGAGGGAGGGAGATATCTAGGGGAAGGAAGGACAAAGATGGACCCTCAGGAATACTTATAATGGGAGGTTGAAGAGAAGGGTAAGGAGAGAGGTGCGGAGATTGAGGGTCTAGAGGAGATCCCAGGTAGCATAGTGTCCCAGAAGCTGAGAAAGGGAGCAGAGCTTTCAGGAAGGAAAAGATGATTAGGGATTTTGAGTCTTAGACCTGATATAGCCGAAAGAACTGAAGATTGAGAATAGTGTTACCAATAAGAATACAATGTGACTCACAACTGTCATTTAAAATATTCTAATAAGCATTTCTTAAAAGGTAAAATGAAGTAGATGACATGAATTTGAATACATTGAACTCAGCATATCCAAGATATTTGCATTTCAACATGTAATCAGTCTAAAAATTTACTTGCCTTAGTAAGAGATCTTTAAGAAAACAGACGTTCGCTCTGATTCATTAGTTACCCAGCATTTTCTTCCAGGTAGAAACAACAAAGTAAGTGGTGGTTGACTAGGAGTTAGAAATGTTTGATTTTTTTCCCAATGCCTTGTACACATCCTTGTTTCGGGTGACTCAAGGCAAAGGAAAGAATGCAGGCATTGTTGTGAATGCCAACGATTTATAAACAAATTAGAAATAGTTAATTTTTTCATTAAAATATTTAAAGTGAATTGGAGACAATGACTCTTGGTAATCATACTTTCCTAATCGAGTTAGTGAAGTTCAATATTTTTGGGAAAGTTCTTTATAAGTCCACAAATGTTGATAATAGAGGATTACATTCTCCTTACCCTTACTTCAGAAACCTCAGAAAACCAAAAGTCTTTCATATGACAGTAACATCTTATCTGAGCCTATTTTTAGTCTATTATTTTATGTAACTTTAAACTATATTTCTTTCTAGACTTACTAACCAGTTTTACTTTGGACTTCTACCTGTGACCCTGCAAAAAGGGCATTATATAAGATGTGGTATTTGCATCATATTAACTTTGTAAAGTCCAACAATAACAATACTAAATTCTGAAATGTATTTGTCCTTTGGGTTTCAGATAAAGGATTCTTGACTTGTAGATCCAAGATTGTCATTTTCATGGTATCTTCTGAATTTCCAGTAGTTCACTGCCACAAAGTCAATTCTGACTCATAGCGACCCTGTAGGACAGGTGAACAACCCTTTTGGGTTTCCAAGACTGTAAATCTTTACAGGAGCAGAAAGCCTCTTGTTTCTCCTGTGGAGTGGTGTTAGGTTTGAACCACCAATCTTTTAGCAGCCCATTGTAACCTACTATGCTGCCCGGGGCTTTGGAGCTCACAGGGCCATTATTATTTAAAAACAAGTTGCCACAGTAAGACAATATAATTCCCACACTTCAGCAACTGAGAATCTGGTTTCATTCAAGGCTCTGCTTTAAGGCGCAGGTCTTCAGGGCAGCAAGGGCAGCTCTGCTGTGCATGTCCCATTCTGGAGGCCATTGGCTTGAGCCTGCTTAAGGTCTCTGCTTGTGCCACCTTTGCTAAGATTGTTGACCACAGCAAGTCAAGTAATTGTTCCCAAAGGCAAAGGGTAATAGACTACCCACCTTGAAGGCAAAGTGAGTGACAGGGCCTAACCCAACATCATCAGAGAAGAATGTAGTCCTACTTTAGGGATGCCGGGGGAGGGAGTGAATATCTGCTGAATAATAATCTAATCTAATCTGACACAGATGGTACACAGAGGCGGCGTGGGATGTAAGGAGAGGGGGGAAGAATCACCAAATAGATGCCTCACCATCCTTGCTCTTTTTGGCGTCTTCTGCTTTCACACAGTCTTTTGTGAATTTGGGGAAAGATTTGCTCCTGGTTTATTAAAAATTAGAGGACTCTTTTCAGGATGTTCAGAGTTTGGTTGCATTTACTATTGGATGTGAGCTTTTGAACTTAAATTGAGGTGTTAGCAGCCCATCCATATCAGAATGTGGGCTATTCATCAAGGGAGAAGCTGTCAAAGTACCACCAAGGTTGATTAACTTTGTGGAAAAATAACACATCTCCAAATTTTTTGGCACTTGACAACTTCTTAGCTTTAAAATACAGGGCAGCAAACAAAACAAGAAATCCTCCCTCTTGGTTAGCAGTTTTCTAAGTGAAAGAGAAACTAAGTCAAGTGGCCACCAGCCAGAGCAAGCCACAAGCTCTGGGCACTGGAGAAGAGAATGGTAAGAAGTCTCTTGATGAGGGCACATTTTGTTTGTGTGTGTGTCTATCTCTGAGAGTGAAGGGAGAAAATGGTACCTGACGAATAACTACGCTCTATAGGGACGTGGGGCTTTATTGTCAATCCTGAGCTGTAGTGAGAAAGAGAAATGTACTTTTCCAGTGATGCATCCTTCAGCGGGATTTGTAGTAAACATATTTTGAGAGTCTACACCTGGCTGCTGTGGTGCTTTCTGGTGGTGCGAAGCTTTTCTGGTTTACTGTAAGTTTGGGGAGACGGATTGGTTCTCCTGGGGCTCTTTTCACCTCTCTGTACACATGAACAGTCTCTTGTACGGATGAGAGTAGAAGGAAATTGTAGTTGCCCATCAGAGAAGGATGTTCCCCTTATTATATGGTTGAGCAAGTGTTTTTTCTTAAATCATTTTATTGGGGCTCGTACAGCTCTTATCACAATTCATTCATACATCCATTGTGTCAGGCACATTTGTACATCTGTTGCCATCATCATTCTCAAAACATTTGTTTCCTACTTGAGCCCTTGGTACCAAGCTCCTCATTTTCCCCCCTCCCTCCCCGCCCACCCCTCCCTGAGGAGGTATCTTAAGATAAAGGAAATGAATGTTAGAGACTTCAGAAATTCTAGCAGGTGACC